TCCGCAAAAAATTGAGATTTTTTTTTCTTTATATTTTTGTAAATTTAAGTAAAATGTTGTTTTTCAGTTTTATTGTCCATAGTCGGATTGTATTTCTTACTTTCTCCGTCGCGTATTATTTGTCATGGTTTCCATTTTTAGAGTTAAACTATAAAAACTTTGGCTAACATTCTAAGATGTATTTTTTCATCATATTAATATGCAAAAAATTGCAGTTTATAGTACTTTTCATATAGTTTTAGATTATCTAAATTTTTTTGTTTAAAATATCGAATTAATGTGATCTAATTTAACTTTGAAAATTAGTCAAATTGACTTTCGAAAGACGCAACATGACAAACAATACCAGACAAATGGAGTATATTATAAGTAATTGATAAATACAAATTAGTGATAACTAATGATTATTCATTACTCTACTAATATTTCTTGAACAACATTCATCGTAAGAAAACTGTGAATTACATGGAAATTTTCATGAAATTTGTATGAAAAAAAATTTCTTATGAATTTTCATACTAATTCCAATAAAAATTCCCATGATATATATATATATATATATATATATATATATATATATATATATATTTCCTCGCCTTTCTCACTTATACAAACAGAAGCGAAATGTATAAATTGCTATATATATATATATATATATATATATATATATATATATATATATATTTGTAGTGATTGTTATTACTACTGCCTGTAAATCTGTTAGAAACAATGATAAATTAATATCTTTTGAACAACATTGATTTTTTTTTTGTGCCTCACCAACAAAATGATAATATTATACATGTGCTTTTAGTTTTCTTCCTCTCATCTTATTTTCTCCCTTATGAAATTGATTTAGATTAATTTGTGGAATCAAAATAATAATGAGTTTTTAAATAATAGTTTGATGTTTTATATAGAAAAAGTATTTACTTTTAATGAGATTATTTTGAATATATTTTTGAAAAAACTAAACTAATTGGGAAGAATTTAGCTATATACGTGAGTTTTTGTCTTGTTTTGTTTGTTTATATTGTGTTCTTTTAAATATGATTTCGTAGTATGCCATTTATTTGTACTTATTTTAAATGTGACATCTCTTGCAAAATAATATGAAAAAATTGTATATAATAGCAAACTAATAACCTAAAATAAATGAAGCAGTTAGGGTTTGATTTAATTATGCTCCATAGCAAATGTTTGCAAAAAAATGTCAGGCGTCTCTCTCCCAAATATCTCGCTCGCCACTCTCCTCCAATCTCTCTCACTTCTTATACAAACACAAGTGTATAAAAATTCTTTCTAATTGTATAAAGCAGAGAAAATTGTATAAATACATATGTTTTTGTTCCTCTCTCTCCCCTCTTCCAGATCTCGCTCGTCACTCTCCCAAATCTCGCTCGCCAT